GGTGTGGACGGCTTGCTTCTGCGTGAGGTATGGTTCCGAACGAATCTGGTCGTCCTTTCCGTCAGGTACGTGCCAGAAAGTCGCTGGTGTGGACAGCTTGCTTCTGCGTGCAGTATGGTTTAAGGCCAAGGTCGCACTCGCATCTGCGGTTTTCCGAACGAATCTGGGCGTCTTGCGTCAGATACGTGCCAGAAAATCGCTTGTGTGGACCGCTTTGCTTTGCTCTCCCTGTTCTGTCTCCCTGCCCCCTCCCCCATGCGGTATGCTTTAACTAGGCCGTTTCTCGGATGAACTTGGTCATGTTTCTGGTCAGATACGTCCCAGATATAACGAGTATCCGGCTTAACCGCCATGAAACCCCCCTCCCTTCTCCCGACCCCCCCCCCCCCCCCCCCAACACACACTTCCTATGCCGGTCTACCGTATTCCATTCAATAATGAGACCCCCAAAACATACCCTGAAACCTAAACCGTTCCCCAGCGCTGCTACCCCCGGTAGCTGGCTTCTTCTTCAGCCGATCCACCCCACGGAGAGAACTTGCTGCCACTGGTAGCTGCCTTACTCGGCAGCCAATCCAGCAAGACTGAGGGACCGGCTCCAACAGAGCTATGCCCGCGCTCAGAAAGCACGAATCCGACCGTAAAAGACACCCAGGTTCCGACGATACCGGAAAGACGCCTAGGTTTCGACCAGAATAGCACGAACAACCATAGCACGGGGGCCATGCCCCATATGCTATGTCCGCGCTGGCTGGAACTTCTTTTTGAATTCTGTTTCTTTTGCTTTTTCAGAAAGGGGTAGTCCCAAGGACCTTATTGGTAGGCAAGTATGGTCATTCCCAAAAACAAAAAAAACAAAAAAAAACTTATATAGTGGAACAGATAGTAAAGAGAAAAAAAAACATCCTCAGCATGGGAACAACTGGGTGCTAGCTAGGTCCCCACTAATGACAAATCTGGTCATCAAAATGACAAGGCTCGGTCTAGTTCATTGAGCACAAACACAGAGTTTTAATAACCTGCCCCTAGGCAGGAAACTTATTTGCCCCTTTCTACCAAAAAAAAAAGCATATCTATGGCCCTCGTTAGACCCTCCTTGGAAATCCGATTTTTAGGAAATGAGCGCGGTTACACCGCGTCCTAATTCCCCAAATTCCTTGAGTAAATGTGAAAATGCTCCCGAGAGATTTCCTTGGGTTCCTCTGAGTCCCCTGCCAAAACGTCCTTGGATACAAGGGGTCCTCGCAAGGTTCCCTGGGTTAAAGGAGCCGCGATTGACAGAGTGTTTTGGCGCGAGCGCCGACAGGAAAATTTGGAGTCGATGTTGGTGGACAGGTCGTCCGTGGTCCATTGGGCGGACATCGCCAACCTCCAGTACCCGACAGGCCCTAACCGGCCTTCCACCGTTACCGTTGGCTCGAAAATGCGTGGTGGTGGTTCTTCAGCTACAAGGCGGTTCACAAAGCGTTTCTGTGCGCGCGTCACTGGTCGTGGTGTCCAACGGCCAAATTTTTCAATTTTTCTATAGGCGATGTTGAAGCATTGTCAGTCGATTGCAATCATTTGCCTAGGGTGTTTTGCCGGCTATTGTCGGGTGCATTGATGCAAGTGTTTCGCGTGTTGGGATTCATGGCAAACGTCCTCCGATGGTTCCCGCTTCCGCTGCTGGCCACTCTTCTCCTGCTCCTTGTCGTGCTGTTCCACGCGTGCGTCATTGTGCGGGGTCCTGGCAGCAGACGGAAACGACAAACTATGAAGAAGACGACGATGGATAGGCGGGAAACCTCCAGCAGACAGCTGGCGCGCGCCATTGACTACTCCACCCCGCAGCTTCTCCTTGTAGTAGCCCTCCATTGTGTCGTCAACTTGCCAGAGATCCTCCTATGTCCCTCCCTTCCTTCTCCTCATCCACCATCTCGGCGTTGCCCGCTGGATCACAATCGATGCCATGGCAGAACAAAATTGCACAATGGATTCCAATAACAACACACAATCGGGTGCATCCATCACTTGTTGCATCAACTGCCTCTACCTGCGAACGGACAATCTCATACTCAGGCGAGTTGTCGTTTTCTCAATGTGATAACGCATGGTGACGATTGACACATTTGTGACCACCGTGTTTCTCTCCAATGTCGTTAATGTCGTTGCATCACTCGAGAGCTCTCCCTCCATCGCCAATACTTGCAATGCGCAAGCGGCCACCACTCGTTTGCCCACTGGCGCCCTCGTTGCACCTTCTGCACGTCGATGGGGACCTCGCTCACACTCTCCACATTTCACGGAATCGTTAACTTCGTGCTCAACCGTTTCGCATGCGAAACACGAAGTTGACGTCGCAATAGAAAACCGTTAGGCATACACACTACGTCGCCCAAAATTCCAATGTCAGTCTTTTAAGTCATGTCTGCCATCAATCCTCCATACAGACGTTTCGCCCCAGTCTCCAGCCCAACCGCTATGACGCCTCACACGCGGATGCGTCACAACGGAGGGTTTGAAATTCAAAATTTGAACCGGGATGTTAGCGCTTTTTTTTTCTTCTTCAGCCTAGTAGGTCTTCCCACCACCACCACTGGACCACGCCCGAGGACGCACGGACATCCCAACACGATGATGGTCATCCACCCCCACGGTCGAGTGTATGCGTATGAAATTGGCCGCCGGAGACCTCCAAGGGTTTTCCTTGGGACCATCGAATCAGGACACGGTAACGACGCCGCCAAAAACCAAAAACTTTTCCAATAACTTCATCCTAATTCCTGAGGATTTTCCAAGGAGGGGCTAATGAGACTCTATGTCCTAGAGGTTTTCCTTGTGTCTACAAGGTGCCACAGTTGACAGAAATATGACACTCCTCAATTGATAAAGGTCCTTTGTAGAACTGAAAAACACAATGTTTCACTTTCCTACCCCAATGACGATGTGTCATGGAAAAAACCCTTTCTACTAACACGGGGGAACATAAAGGTTTTATATCCTCATTGGAAAAAGGTTGCGGTGGCAGACAAATCGCACGACAATTGGCTTACCCTTACGGGTATGCAGTCTTTAGCCTGTTTGTGGTCTTGCATGCTGACCGGACGCTTGTAAGACAGAAGGAGAGTAAGTTGCACCAACATGTGCATATCGTGTGCGCACAAGGAACGCAGCCCTAAAGGATTATGTTTCTTTGTTTTTATTTTCGAGAGAGAGCGAGAGCGAGAGGGAGAGAGAGAGAGAGAGAGAGAGAGAGAGAGAGAGAGAGAGAGAGAGAGAGAGAGAGAGAGAGAGAGAGAGAGAGAGAGAGAGAGAG